TAAGGGGGTGGCCAGGTTAATTAAGTAGCCAAATTAAATAAAAAATATATTATATAATATAACTTTACCTTTTCCCTATATAAATTAATAATTATAATTTTTTAAATTATAAATATTATTAATATATCTTTTATTTAACCTAGCTACCCAATTAACCTGGCCACCCCCTTAGCCTATATAAATAACATCGGTGCATTAATTACATAATAATTTAATAACTTTATAAATATTAATTATATAAAATAATAAAAGATATTATTAAATTCGTAATAAAAAAAGCTATTTAATAGTACCCTTTATTAATTTATATAACCTATATTTGCAAAATTATTAAGCTATATACTAAAGTAAGCGTTAAAATAACCCTTACTTAACGCCCCTTTAACGTATTGCTTAATATCTTACTTAATAAATTTTATAAAAAATAATAAAAAATACCTTTAAATTCCTTTTAAACTAACGGATTTACCAATATTAATTATTAAATTATACAATTATTACTTATAAAGTTATTAAAGATTAAAATAATGGGGTTTTATATAGGTTATTAAGGTAGCCAGGTTAATTAGGTAGCTAGGTTAAGTAGAAAATACATTATATTTATTAATTAAAGGTTTTTATATTATTATATAATTAAAGTTAATATTTAAAAGTAACTTTATTATATTAATTTTTAATCCTATAATATTTTAAAAGGTTATATTATATATTATTAAATAAATAATAAGGTTAATTTTCCTATATTACTATTAACTTAACATATCTCCCACTTAACCTGGCCACCTAATTAACCTGGCCACCCCCCTAGCCCATACAAATAACATCGGTGCATTAATTACGTAATAATTTAATAACTCTACGAATATTAATCGTATAAAATAATAAGATATACTATTAAATTTATAATAAAAAGAGCTATTTAACGGTACCCTTTAATAACTTTTATAACTTATATTCGCAAAGTTATTAAGCAATACGCTAAAATAAGCGCTAAATTAATCCCTGCTTAGCACCCCATTAACGTATTGCTTAATATCTCGCTTAATAAATTTTATAAAAAATAATAAAAAATACCTCTAGATTCCCCTTTAATTAATAGATTTAAAGGTATCAATTATTAAATTGTACAATCAATATTTATAAAGTTATTATAGATTGAAATAATAGGATTTTATATAGATTAAGGGGGTGGCTAGCTTAATTGGGTGGCCAGGTCAAGTGGGAGATGCGTTATAGCTTTTTTATTAATATTCCACTATTATTAAGCTTAATAAAGGTTAATATTAAAGGAGCTTTAAGGTTAATTCCTTTTTTATTTATAGCTTTTACCTCCTTTTTATTTTAAAAGCTTTTAAGTTATAATATATATATTACTTTTATTTTATTTTTTTCCTTTATTTCCCTTTTATATCCTTTATTTTAAGCTATATAAGTTTTATTATAATTTATATATTTCTTTTTCCTATTAGCTTTTTTTATTAAACATTTCTTTTTTCCTTTTTAATATTTTAATATTATATAAAGGCTATACTTTAAATCCTTTTTATAATATTTTATAATATATTTATATTTATAATAGTTAAAGCATTATATAATCCTTAATTTTAATAAAAAAGGTTTATAATTAAAAAGTTAAACCTTTTATAAAAAGCTACTATTATATATTAACTTTATTATTAACATATCTCCCACTTAACCTGGCCACCTAATTAAGCTGGCCACTCTAATAACCTATATAAAACCCCATTATTTTAATCTTTAATAACTTTACGGATACTAATTGTACAATTTAATAATTAGTACCATTAAATCTATTAGTTAAAGGGGAATCCAAAGGTATTTTTTTACTATTTTTTATAAAATTTAATAAGCGAAATATTAAGCAATATGCTAAAGGGGTGCTAAGTAGGGATTAATTTAGCGTTTACTTTAGCGTATTGCTTAATAACTCCGCGAATATAAGTTGTAGAAGTTAGTAGAGGGTACCGTTAAATAGATCTTTTTATTATGAATCTAATGGTATATTTTATTATTCTATACGATTAATATTTATAGAGTTATTAAATTATTACGTGATTAGCGTACCGACGTTATTTATATGGGCTAGGGGGGTGGCCAGGTTAATTGGGTGGCTAGGTCAAGTGGGAGATGCGTTACTATATTAATAATATAAATAATAATAAATATTAACTTTACTTTATTATTTTTAAGTATTATTTTTTTATAATATATAATATTTAAATGCTCCTTTTAAAATAATTATAATAATTTTTTATTTATATATATCCTTTAAATTTAATTTTTTAAAATCCCCTTTATAATTATAACTATTTTTTTATATTATAGCTTTAACCCTTTATTAAAGGCTTTTATTACTTACTTTTTATTTATTACTTCCTTTAATATTATATCCTTAAATATTATTATTATATTATTATTATATAGCTTTTTTATTATAATAATATTATTTTTAAGAAGTATTATATTTATTACCTTTATAATATCCCCTAATATCCTTTTTTTAAAATTATTTATTTATTCTTTAATTTAAATAAAGATTTCCTTATTATACTTTAATAATATTATTTTATTAATATTGCTTAATTATATAATCATTATTATTTAAGCTTATAACTTTAAAAGGTTTATTATTATATATATAGTTTATTATAAAGCTTTTTATAAAATTTATTTAAAGTTTTTTTAAATAATTAAAGCATTATTTCTTTTTTTTATATTTAATTTTAATTTTACCTATTTTATAATTAATTTATAAATAAAGCAAATTAATTATACCCTTTTTATTTTTTTTATAAAAAAAGTTCTTCCTTTACTTTCCTATTTATTATAAGTTATAATATTAATTTAAATATTTTATTTAACATTTTATTAATTTCTTTTAAATTAATAATAATTTATTTCCTATTAAATAATTATTATATTATAATTATATTATTAATAGCTTCATTTTAGTTTTTTATTATATTATTAATAAATGGGTTATTTATTACTATTCCTTTATTTTCCTTTATATTTATTATTTATACTTAAGATATAAACCTTTTATTAAATAGAAGTTAAACTTTTGGTTATAATAGCTTAAATTATTTAATAATTAGGTTTAAATTTAAAAAGTTATTAAAGGTTTTTTTTAAATCTTTTTTTATTACTTTTAACTATTTAATATTAAAATATTTAACCTTTTAAAACAATTTTATAAAAAGTAAATTAAAAGCTTTAACGTATCTCCCACTTAACCTGGCCACCCAATTAAGCTGGCCACCCTAATAACCTATATAAAAATCCAATGTTTTAATCTATAATAACTTAACCAATATTGGGCCCACAATAGGATAATTAAAACCATTAGATCCGTTATTTAATAAGAAATCCAGCGGTATTTTTTACTATTTTTTATAAAATTTATTAAGCAAAATATTAAGCAATACGCTAAAAGGGCGCTAGGTAAGGTTTATTTTAATGCTTACTTTAACGTATTGTATAATAACTCCATAAATATAGGTCGTAAAAGTTAGTAAAGGGTACCGTTAAATAGCTCCTTTTATTATAAATCTAATAGTATATTTTATTATTCTATACGATTAATATCCGTAAAGTTATTAAGTTATTACGTGATTAGCGCACCGACGTTTTTTATATGGGCTAGGGGGGTGGCCAGGTTAATTGGGTAGCTAGGTTAAGTGGGAGATGCATTATATAAATATATATTATTTATATTTAAAAGGAAGATTTTATAATTATTTTTTTTATATATTTAATAAAGTAATTATTTTAAATAATAATGCATCTTCCATTTAACTTAGCTACTTAATTAACCTGGCCACCCTAATAACCTATATAAAACCCTATTATTTTAATCTTAAATAACTTTACGAATATTAATTGTAGGATTTTATAATTAATACCTTTAAATCTATTAGTTAAAGGGGAATCCAAAGGTATTTTTTATTATTTTTTATAAAATTTATTAAGCGAGATATTAAGCAATACGTTAAAGGAGTGTTAAGTAAAGATTAATTTAATGTTTACTTTAATATATTATTTAATAACTCTATAAATAAAAGTTATAAAAGTTAGTAAAGGGTATTATTAAATAGCTCCTTTTATTATTAATCTAATAGTATATTTTATTATTTTATATAATTAATATTTGTAAAGTTATTAAATTATTATATAATTAATATACCGATGTTATTTATATGGGCTAGGGGGGTAGCTAGGTTAATTGGGTGGCCAGGTTAATTGGGTGGCCAGGTCAAGTGGGAGATGCATTATATAAAGAAAATTAAATTATAAAATAAAGGATCTTTTATTATTAAAAATATTAAGGATTAAATAAAGGTACAAGGTATTTTTAAAGTAGAAAATTATATTATATATTAAAATAATTATTATTTAAAAGGGAAAGAAACTTATATTTAATATTATAAAGCTTATAATAACCCTAATTATAATATATAAACTTATAAAAATATTATAAAAACATTTAATAATTTAAATTTAAATTAATTTAAATTAATTATATAAATAATTATTTAAATATTTTTAAATATATATATAAAGGTTAAAAATATAGCTAAATTAATTAAATAATTAAATTAAATAAAAAATATATTAAATTAAATTAACTTTAACTTTAATAATTTATTTTATAAAATTATTAATATATATTTTAAAAGGAAAGTAAAATTTATTTAATAATAATATATATACTTTTAAACCTTTAATTAATTAATTTATTTATTTTAATATTATTACTTTATCCTTTTAAAGTAATATAACTCCTATTTATTATTTATTATAATAATAAATATATTTTTAATATAATTAAATTCTTAATTATAATAATATATTAAAAAACAAACTTTTTATATAATTTCTTTATTATTAAAGTATTAATTTTTTTTTAATTATTTATATTATAATTTGTGTTTGAAAACCTGTTGCCCTATTTGCCTTGATTCCTCCCGACCATGCAGTCAATGGCGGGCCAACAAATCAAAGCGATCTAGGTTCATGACCTTATTCCATACTCCCACAAAGTCTTTCACAAACTTGGCATTTCCGTCCGAGCTGCCATACACCTCTGCGATAGCACGGAGCTCAGCCTGCGCGCCGAATACAAGGTCAACCCGCGATGCTGTCCACTTCTTCTCGCCCGTCTTTCGATCAAAACCGTCAAAGGTTTCCTTGTCGGCACCCGTAGGCTTCCACTCCGTATTGGTGTCCAACAGGTTTACGAAGAAGTCGTTCGTAAGGAGACCAGGCTGTTTGGTCAGGACTCCGACGGTTGATCCATCGTAATTGGCACCAAGAGCACGCAGGCCGCCCAACAGCACGGTCATTTCAGGAGCAGATAGTTTAAGTAGCTGTGCCTTGTCCACCAACATGGCTTCTGTCTTCACTCGAGGCGTTGACTTGCCATAGTTTCGGAATCCGTCAGCGGCTGGCTCTAGGTGGCCGACAGATTCAACATCTGTCTGCTCCTGCGATGCATCTGCTCGTCCGGGCGTGAAGGGCACTGAGACACCAGAGGCCTTCTCCACCGCAGCGACACCAGCGAGCACAATCAAATCGGCAATGGACACCTTCTTTGGCGCGCTTGACCCGTTGAAGCGGCTTTGAATTCCTTCGAGTGCGGCGATGGCCTTGTCCAATTGCAGATGACTATTTACAGCCCATTCCCGCTGAGGAGAAAGACGAATGCGAGCCCCGTTGGCACCGCCGCGCTTGTCACTGCCACGGAAAGTAGACGCGGACGCCCATGCTAGAGAGACAAGGTGAGATGTGTTCAACTCGACAGCTAGGATCTCCTTCTTTAAAGCGGCAATATCCTGCTCATCAATGAGGGGGTGGTCTACGGCCGGGATCGGATCTTGCCACAGCAACTCCTCTTTGGGAACCTCGGGACCAATGTAGAGGACGGATGGGCCAAGGTCACGGTGCAGCAGCTTGAACCAGGCACGGGCAAAAACGTCGGCGAATTGGTCCGGGTTCTCGAGGAATCGGCGGGAGATCTTCTCGTAGGCGGGATCAAAACGGAGTGATAGATCAGTGGTCAGCATCCTGGGCAAATGCTTCTTGTTGGGATCATAGGCGTCAGGGATGATAGCGTCAGCGTTCTTGGCAACCCATTGGTGCGCACCGGCCGGACTCTTCGTCAACTCCCACTCAAAGCCGAAGAGATACTCGAAGAATTGGTTGCTCCACTTCGTGGGAGTTTTGGTCCAAATAACTTCTAGACCACTAGTTATGGTATCCGGACCCTTGCCAGAACCATGAGAGTTGCTCCAGCCAAAGCCCTGCTGCTCGAGAGAAGCGGCCTCGGGTTCACTACCGACGTGCGATTGGGGGGCTGCGCCGTGGGTTTTACCAAAGGTATGGCCACCAGCGATCAGAGCAACGGTTTCCTCATCGTTCACTGTGGGGTACAAAGTTTAGCGAAATCTAAGCAAACGAAAAGTGTGATGGTGGAAAGCGTTCAGTGGATGGCATGCGTAAGACAGAACGAGGCTGACAGAGCCAAGTGACAGGTTTAAAGACGAGGGCGCTGAGATAACCAAGCTGGTCGTATGCCAAATCTAAAGACAGTACATAGGAAATATGCTCCACAGGTCGCACTTACTTGCCATGCGGGCGAATGTATCGCGGATATCATGGGCTGCGGCAACAGGGTCCGGTACGCCATCAGGTCCTTCGGGGTTGACGTAGATAAGGCCCATGTGTGCAGCTCCTAAGGGCTTCTCGAGCTCACCAGTATGCATTCCAGTGTCGGGGTTCTCGTCGGAAGAGACGACACCATGACCGGCGAGACCTGCGCGGCCCTTGGCATAGCGAATGTCATTGCCGAGCCATGTGGTCTCAGCACCCCAGTAGGGGACCTCGTCGGCCTCCCAGTCATCCTTGCGGCCGCCAGCGAAACCGAAGGTCTTGAAGCCCATGGACTCTAGAGCAACGTTGCCAGTGAGCAACAGCAGATCAGCCCACGAGATCTTGTTGCCGTACTTCTGCTTTATGGGCCACAACAGGCGGCGGGCCTTGTCGAGACTGACGTTGTCAGGCCAGCTGTTTAGAGGAGCAAAGCGCTGCTGGGCGGTGCCACCGCCACCACGGCCATCGAAGACACGGTAGGTGCCGGCGCTATGCCAAGCCATGCGAATGAAGAGACCACCATAGTGACCGAAATCAGCGGGCCACCACTCCTGAGAGTCCGTCATGAGGTCATTTAGGTCCTTCTTGAGCGCGGCATAGTCGAGAGATTTGAAGGCCTCGGCATAGTCGAAGTCTGGATCTAAAGGACTGGAGGAAGGGTTGTGCTGACGGAGGATGTTCAAGCGCAGCTGTTCGGGCCACCAGTCCTTGTTCCGGGTACCAGCACCGGCGACGTTGGCCTTGACGGGACACTGAGACTCTGCCATGGTGCTTCTACGGCTCCTCGAGGTATGAAAGAGACGACGAGTGTGTTGTTGTTTTGGGGCTTGCGCGCAAGATTCACGCAAGTATGCAAGTGCACACGGGCGTGGGACTGGCAATTGGCGGCAAGCGATGATAATGCGCGAACAAGGCTTTATCATACCAGTCTCGGGGGTGAGACAGAAGGAGATGCAGAAGGAGATGCAGTAGGAGGATCCTATGTGATGAAAAGGACGAAGAAAGGAGAGGAGTTGGATAGGTGAGAGAGGACGACGTAGGGTGGTGGTCAACCCCGCACTTTATAAGGACGAGGGAGAGGAAACGGAAAGGCCATCGGGCGATTGCGTGACGCTGGGGCACATACAAGCACTGTATCACAGGTAAGCACCAGGTAAGTAGGTACATAGTAGCCAGCCATACACACATAGTACAACGAACGTCTCTCCGCTCATCAGATGTTAGTTACATAGACTGTACATACAGTAGGAGGTCCGGTTGGGTTTGATGGATGATGGTCCGACTGGAACGGCTCTGGTACGGCATGCCGGATGCTGTACTGTACGTGGAATCCTGCAACGCACTCGGTCAGGCCAGGTCAGGATAAGTACACCATGCTTAGGTATGTACCGGTAGGTAAGGAGGTAGAGGTATCTAGATACAGCAGGTTGATGATGATGCTCGGTAGTACGCCTCACCCATGCTCCATGCTCCATCCTCCAGGTTCCATGCTCGGTGCGAGCGGGGTCATGTCTCGGTCCCCTGGCGAACATCTTACATAGTATGTATTCTACCTACTTACCTATAGATACAGATACGTACTACCTATTTTTGTATCTAAATATACACAGAGTATTGATTAAATGTTCCAGCTGTAGCAAATCTATGGGCTATCGACTCCCAACTCGGTATTCTCGGTGCCTTAGCTAATCTCTCAAACAACCTACAACACAATTATGTATGTGTATATACACACAGTGACGATGTCGTGAACACGGACGACAACAGGAGGGGTCGGGTCTGGAGGGGTGATTACATGTAGGAGCCACTGCAAAGGCGGCCCCATCCCGCCGCTCATTACATATGTAGATACTTAGCTAGGTAGTCTAAGGCTGTTAGGTATCTAAGTAGGTAGACGGCTCGTCAGATGGTCCAGAAATCGGCAGGTAAGCGCAGGTCAAGGGCTGTCGAGCTGTTTCGAGGCGTGCGAACGGGGTGGGCCGAGTCGTCGTCTGGCCGAGTCTCGTCCGGTGCCCAGTCCGGCGCTTGCTCGGAAACCGGAGAGATAGCGTTGGTTTCTGTGCCACGTTTTCGATCTGTGGTGGCTCAGGTGGTCTCAGACAGACAGATAGGTACTATGTATACCATGTACTGTGCTCTACTACACTGTATTCGAGCTGCTGCTGTGGTCAGGACTTTTGGCTTGCTCGGCTTGCTGGCTGCGGATTGGGTATGATCAGGTATGATGGGTAGAATGGGTATGATGGTTGTGATGGTCTGTGATGGTCTGTGGTGGGTATGAGGGCAGAAGGGGTATGGGATCTACCTATCTGCAGTGTGCTGCTACTGGTTACCCCTCTTCTGGCCTCTTCTGGCCCCTCATCCCATGCGAGCATGTTTGTCTTCACCAAGACAAAGCGAAGAAGACCGAAGAAGACGCCGGCGCCGCTTTGATCGCCACAGCGTTTCGCGATGGACGCTTACTAGCTACAGTAAGTCGTGGGCCGGTTGATCTTGGCGCAGGGTGTCCCAACACGCCAGCGCCCCAACGTGCCAATCGTGCCATCCTCTCTCGCCTCTCTCGACCCTCAAGATACTCGCATGTTTAAGGTACTTCCGTGCTTGCTTACATAGCAGTAACATAGGTACTTACTTACTTACTTACTTCGTAAGTATTGTAGAGTATACATACACAGTGTATTACAGTGTGTGTACTAATTGGGCCGCTGCGATTCGTCGCTGAGTTAGCCCCGCCGCAATCGCAACGTGGGGTAGTGGCCAGACTACTGTAAGGACAACCAAAGCTAACTACATATGTACCAAGTAATTACCTAAAGTAACTTCCTACCTACAAAGTACCTACAGTACTGTAGTATATATACCTAAGTAGTATGTAGGTATCTGCCGGCCGGTGAAAGCCGCCGTCGCCCGCACTCGTCCGCACCTTCTCTCTAATACCTACATACTTGCATCACGCATCATCTCCACCCCTCCGCACCGTCCGCATCCCACTGTGAGTACATCTGCGGCTGGCAAAGAAAGGCGAATCTTCCGTTTCATCATTTCATCGTTCCACATCGCTTAAACAATTCAGTAGAACTGACTAAGCCATGTTTGAGGTATGCACCTACACTATTCCAGTCTCTTGTCATTCGACATTCGCGGCTCTTCTTCCAGATAAGGTACTCGAGACTCAGGCACCATATTCAGAAATATCCCTACCAAAATTGACAAGAACATATACCCATATGCAAGAACCACAGGCTCTTTGAGGAGTCATCGACCACGTAAACTGTGCCCGTCGACCGTGGTTTTCAGTTTTGAGACTCATCGAGGGACATAAGAGTGTGGGTTCTCATCAAGATGTTGGACATATTATTATCTGGTGCATGGTGTACCTATCTTATAGACGCTGTCTGTTACACAGCTTCTAGTACAATACTTCTGGCAGGGCGCCTGTAGGAGATAAATTGTACAACTTAACAGCTTCTTGACCTCATGGTGGAACCTACTTAATGAGAAGCGACCTCACTTCCCTTTCAGGCGGTTCAGAAGCGTTACCTGGATCGGAGACTATGGATTGTTATGAAGGCTCGCAGAATAATGTTATAAATAATATGGATTCGAGGTGCCATTTGGGATCGGGGCGAGTAGCACAAAACAGTTTAGATAAACTCTAGCTCTGGGTATATCCAAGGAGTACTATTGCTATAATGAATATGCAATCCTGTTAGTGGCAACACATTTATTTAGCCTCTAAAACATTGAGACTATAATCAGTTAAGCCCTTCTTTACCCCCTATGCGATGGCTTACGCTCTGGAAGTATGTAAAGTTATAAAGTTTAAAGCCGAACAGGTTTAATAAGAATATACACATGAATAGTTTCCAACGTGATCATAAGTACATGGCCATATTATTTCAGATTGTTTCACATAAACCTTGGGCATTTCGATAAGTGAGTCCCAGCCTACTGAAATTACTCGAATTGGTAAATGAACCCGAATGGGCTGAAGCCTTTGTACCCCGACGGGTTGTAATGTGAATCTGAACGACACTTCTCAAATGAGACCAAGACTGGATAGAAAGGAAGTTGCCGCAACGAGGCCCCGGTGCTACCCAAAGCACCAGGAGAGACAACCCTTCCAGTTAGCTGAAAAGGGGAAATGAAAAGTAGACCTCGGCACGTCGACGTGACGGGTTCCTTTATGCAACCGACGCCTTGACCTCCAGAGAATTCGCTGTCCAATGATGAGCTGATAATCGGCGTCGGTTGATTTGTGTAGCGTAACCGTCACCGCGGATAATATCCTTCGCTTCCACGCATTGCATACAAGCTGCGCTTGCCTACCCAGGTAGATGACACGAGGGTGCCCACAGCTGGCGGGACGAGAACCGGCATGGGATGGGGTCGCGGGGTAAATGCAAACAAGTGCCGGGGACCCCACGACATCTTGGACTGCCGATCCAATAGATTCACGACACTCCTATAGAAAATTCGATACGCCCCTGGCGGAACCATGTGCTGTGACTTGCCCGTACTTTTGCCTGAAAAGATAACTCTACGTTCCAATATCTACCATAATATCACCACCAGCTAGCTACAAGCAAGCTCTCAGGATGAATTCAGCTTATGTATTTAGACCAGCGCCCGCAGAACGGACACTTTAGAGCAATCGTTTTCATAATACACCTTCTCTTTACTATGAATGGACAGTGCGATAGCAAGAAACTAGCATGGCGAATACTTTGAGTGAACAGGGTTCCAATAACCCAACCCTTCATCTTGTTCACAGGTGATTCCTGTCCTGCGTGATAACACCGACCTGGGTTGTGTTCGTTAACGGATTGTTACAGTCATGCCCACGAAGGAGAAATCCCCGGCACAGTCAACGTCAAAGCAGTTGGTCAGTAGTACTCGTGAAAGAAAGTATCAATTTCTCTTCCAGCTCGCTAATGCGCCACTAGAGGGAGATGACACTGGCTATGGCCAAGCACTATTCCCCGTGCCAGCTGAGGACCCCAATGATCCTCTCCAATGGTCCAAGGGCCAGAAGACTATGATTCTGATAATCGTCTGCATCTATTCTTTCCTCGGTAATTCTGCGCTGCTGGGCGTCGGCCCCTACATTACGCTGTGGTCTGAAACATTCAACGTATCACAGGCAGAGGCCTCTACTCTGATTTCTTACCCCAATCTAGCCTACGGGCTTACAGCCTGGTTGCTGGTACCGCTTTATCTGAGATTTGGAAGAAGGCCCGTCATGTTAGGATCGCTGCTAGCCGTAAGTAGTTGCTGATCCCCTACCAATGCCACCGAGAAATGCTTACATCTTCTTCGCGCAGTTTATTGCAGGCCTTGCGGGCTGTTCACGAGCAACGAGCTTCAATGGGCTCCTGGCGGCTAGGATTATACACTGCCTCGGTGCTGGTGTATGTGAAGCCTTGCCGGTCCAGCTTGTCAACGACATATTCTTTCTACATGAACGCGGGAACCAACTTGGATATTACACGTGTAATGGCAACACTCCTTTGATCGATCGCGGTCCCGTGACTAATCGGCGTACTTTTAGTTGCACTGTGCCTTGCGGCACTTGCCACACTTCCGGCAGCCTATATGCTCCCCACGAAGTATTCATGGAGACTTTTCTTCTACGTCATCCTGGCTTTCGCCATCGCACTCTTTATATTGGCCTTCTTTTTCGTTGAGGAGACATCATACCAGAGGGAAAACCTGGCTGATACGGGTATGGCGAATGAAGACCACGACTCGGCAAACGCAGCTTCAAGCCAAGAGAAACCTGAATCGTTCGCCGTCGAGCAAGCGACTATCGTCCCTAAGCGTAAATCGTTCCTCTCCACCCTCAGTCCACGAGGACGTGTAGATAGAACGGTACCCTTCTTTACTTTGCTCTGGAGATCGATGACCTACATCCTCGTCCCCCAGGTGCTATGGGTAATCACGTCCTTCGGCATCATCATCGGTTTGGGTGGTTTGTCTTTCAACTTCATCTTCCCGATCAAGATCACAGAGCCACCTTATAATTGGCCCGCGGTAAGCCTCACTTGCGCTCGCATATCCGAATTCTTACTGATTTTCCGCTGTAATAGTCGATATCTGGAATTCATTCCGTCGGCGGCGTGTTGGGATTCCTGCTCGCCGTTCCCTTCACACCTACATCAGACATACTGGCAGCATACCTCACGCGCCGCAACAATGGCATCCGAGAAGCAGAGATGCGATTGGGCGTCATGCTCCCGGCAATGATCGTTGGACCCGTCGGGTTGGTTGTCTACGGTCTAACTGCTCAGTTAAACTTGCACTGGATAGGATACTTTCTCGGTGCTGGTATGGCGTCTTGGTGTGGCTTCTTCTACTACAGTTTCACCTTAGCCTATGCTGTGGACTCGTATTACCAGAATACCTCAGAGATGCTCATGGCTATCAACGTTGGCAAGCAGCTCGTCAGTTTGGGACTGGGGTTCAAGGTATTGGATTGGATCACGCAGAGCAGTTACGCTGCTGTGATATCTGCTGGCTTCGGTTCGATACTACTCGCCAACAACATGTTTCTCATCGTGTTCATGATTTGGGGGAAACGCATTCGGCGGTTTATGTCGACGTCTTGGCTGGCTAAGTTACATGGTCGATCAACTGGCACTAGGTAAGATGCCTACTAAATTTGTAAGGGCCGATATGGCTCTTAATTGCATATCTGGTGCTCCGAGGCCCTCACAAATTTAGTAGGCATCTTACCCAGATCGTCTGAATCCTGGTTATGATAACATGATTGACCTCCACTACATCTCTGCCCGGTGATCATACAGAGTGAAGGCGAGCAGCTAAGTCGTATAATTGACAACCTTTTGGTTTTCGTAATGCCGTTGTATACTACTGTCACATCTGTTCGTCGCAAAGGCCCCTGCGAGAGACCAAGACTCATTGTTTAGCTCAGTGTCATCGCCCGGTATGAGCCTATGTCTTGGAAAAAAGCCGACTCTTTTTCCAATCTGTATCTTCACTCGGTGGTTTGGTGGACAAGCTGCATGTATAATGAATACGCACAACCGCCACGCATATTTTAGGTCAATATACAGGATCAGAGCTTGATGTTCATTGTATAACTGGCCCCACTGCAGTGATATCCTGCATGCCGACTTCCTTTATTGTTCAAAACGTGCAGCAGAACAATCCACCAAGATAGTCTGAAAGCCAGTGAGTCTGCTACATCCCGATTTGAATGCATGTCAAAGATAGGGTTTAACTGCGAAGGCAACTCACATACATCAATGGAATTCCTTTAAAAAAAACCACACCCGCGGTCTTTGTGCGTCGCATCGGATTGTAACGCCTCTGGGAGGAAAAAAATATGGGAACCTAGCCTACCGTCATGTATATATAGACACAGCACGCTGAGATCGTGTCTTCACCACGAACGCGAAACCAGATTCATCTCTGCAGATGCCGGAAACACAAACAATCAGCCCGGCAGCCGCAATCGTGGTGTAAGACTGTGACCAGCTGGATACCACTCTATCGGATATTCACACACAACTGCACAAATGGAGTCGAAAGACCAAGGTAGTGGTGCTCATGACACGGTCGATGGCAAAGCAAAAGATGGCAGAACTCCTCTCAAGCAACTCCCAAAGGCACGGTCTAATCCACCACCAAGTACACCACTGCGAAGGAGAAGAAAGCGAATCGGGGGCAAGCGGACGGTCAGAAGCTGCTCATCGTGCCGTGCTGCCCACGTGAGATGCGTAGCAGATCGATACGGTGTCCCATGTGAGAGATGCGCAAAGAAGTCTTGGATGGACGTAAGTTTTCTCACACCCTATAATAATACTCGCGTACTTGTGTTAGAAACTTAGTTAAGGATTCGTACAAGATGATGAGAGCTGACACGAAGGAAGTGCACCCTCATGCAGAAACCAGAAGAGAAGGCGCCGGCAAAGAACGGGCCTGCAAATGAACCTGATATCATCCAAACTGGCTCAACGGATACCGATGAATTGAAGAGACTTGCTTGCGACACACTGGTGCTGATGGCAGACAAGGAAAAATCCCAGTCGCCATAGGCGAATAGCTGACACCGGAGTTGAGAACTCAAATCAAGACTGGAAACCAGCACACCAACTTAGCCAATATCTGTGTCTGGACGGCGAGCGATGTGAGCACAATTGAGATCAACTCAACACAACAGAGGTGGTTAGTCTAGAAATAATGTACGGATGAATCCAGAAAAAAAAAGCTACTACGAATGAGGCCCAAAGGACCAAAAAGCTTTATTTCTTTTCCAACTTCGCTCTGGGAATTAGGCGGTTTTATTTTCGATGGTCATTGATGCATCAAGACAAGCCTTCTCTAGGAGCGTATGTTTTGTATGTTCCATCATCCGGGAATGGAACTGAGAGTTTCGGACACAATATCTCGAGGATGGTATCTGATATGATGGGATATGGCGTTATGTTTCACGGGAAGGGGAAGATTACAAATGTCGTTGATGTGCGAAACCACATTCTCACGGGAACAACCACAGGATGAGGCATACCATACGCGAGGTCAACCAGACGTGCATCTCACTTACATGTTTTCTCCATAACGAATTGATTATTCTTCCACACTAAACCACCAGTGCCATTGCAAGGAGGCTAGTAACAATGCCGGTTTACTGACAAGGCTGCCCATGAAAGGCCAAGTGAAGATTCCAAGTAAACTCAACTTTGAATATAGAGCCGTCTCTAATGAACCTTGTATGAATGCGGAGTCGGAGCGGAATTCCGCGTTGTGTCTTCACAATGTGTCCGGTGGATCCGGCGGTGAATATTCATCACGGTATAAGAGTGTCAGGGGACGGAACAACTCATGAATTTCAAGCTATCCCCCATCTTAAAATCGGACGATATATTGGGGAGAGATTACAAATGTCAGTTGATTTATAATGCGTCCTTACCCGATGGCTGGACGGGATAGGGCGCAATAGGCTGCAACACACCTCGTCGCAACCTCAGAGCTTGGTGACGTGCTTGCGGGGAACCGACACGGCCGAGTCGTCCAACTGGACGTGCAGGCCAATCGGCAGGGTTAACTGCGAGATCACTGATAAACAGCCAATATATTGAGTATATATAAGTGCAGATAATTGTACATTTGGAGCAAACGAACTTTTCTCATATCATACTAGTAATCCTCAGGCCTTATCCCATACTCAACAGTTCACAGACTAGGATTGATACAATCTCCAATTCTTAAAAGTACTAAGATCGCAATGGCATCCGCGGACGTTCAAGCACCAACAGGCAGTCTCCCGGCTTACTTCGTCGAGGGTTTACACGCCGCATCGGGGTCTGCATCCCCGAGTGAGGTGGAAACCGGTAAGCTAGCCCTTGGACCAATATCCTCCCCACCCAAGCCGTCACGGGCACGAGCACAAGAGTGCCTATTGAGCTAGTGTCCATTTCCCCTGAAAGAGTATCAGCTGACACTACCCAAACGTAGTATTGAACTTCTTCAAGGACAACGAGGACGGTTCACCCCCGGAACCTACCTACGTAGACAAGCCCCAGACATATCAGAGGCCCGCTGCACCTCACACCGTCAAGATCACTAACATAGCCGGGCGAGAGGCGGAGTTTACGCTTGACAAGCAGGGCTTCCAGATCCATCGTCATGTTGCACAAGAGAAGGACTTCGCAGACGACGAGCATATCAAGGCCGTGTACTATCCGGAGACGGAACAGTTGCTCAAGGACGTGTGAGTGCATGAACTGGAGATCTCTTGGAAATTCATTCGTACTAATGTCCTTATTAGCACGGGGGCCTCCAAGATCTTCATCTTCGATCACACAATCCGTCGCCAGTCGACAGATAGCCGGGAGAAAAAGGATAACAACATTAATCTGCGCGGACCAGTGAACCGTGTACATATCGACCAGTCGTACGAGGCCTCGTTATCCCGCGTGCCGCACCACCTCCCCGCCGAGGAGGCAGTGGAGCTTCTGAAGGGCCGCGTCCAGATCATCAATGTATGGCGACCTATCAAAACGGTAGAGCGGGACCCCCTAGCTGTGGCCGACGCGCACAGCGTGAGCGAGGAGGAGCTTGTACCTATCGGTTTGATCTACCCTAACCGCAAGGGCGAGACACTTGGGGTACGATATGCGCCTACACAACGCTGGTTTTATAAGAAGGGATTAACTCCCCAGGAGGTGCTCCTGATCAAATGCTTCGACAGCAAGACGGACGGCCGCGCCCGGCGCATTCCTCACACAGCATTCTCTGACCCGAGTTCTAAGCCTGACGCCCCCTCTCGTGAGAGTATTGAGGTTCGCTGCCTGGTCTTCCACCCGGAGGACCGGGATTAGATAAACTAGGTTAATCATCATTCCTGGAAGTTTATTAGGGAAAGCGGAGCGACGTGAAGGCCGGACGAGTAGAATGAGCGTTGAAGGGAATAGCTGTAAGGTAGATTGTTCTAACAATGTAAACCAGGTAGTTCGAATTAGATATATGCATCAACGCCGTCTAGTGCTCTCATAGTGCGCAATGAAATATTTTTGACACCAGCCCGCAACCAGAACTACGCGGCACTTAGTTGTACAGTGTCCATGATATCTAAACCGTTGAAACCTTCTTCGACCTTCCAAGCGGAACCACTTTCCGGCTTGTTTAAGAATTCGCAGGCGTGTCCGACGACCAAAAGACCAGGGGGTCGGCTGCCCTCTTGTTCGATCGCCTCAACGACCTTATCTAATGTAGTCCGAATCACTCTTTGGTCCGGACAGCTTGCCCGCTCGATAACAGCACACGGTGTGCTCCGGGGCCACAGTGGTCTGAGGCTTGATGGTGGGCTAATATGCGATTGAACGCCCGGCGAACTAGCTTCGTTTTCACATGTCGGGTCTTCTGTCTTCGGGTATTCAGTGAGTTCTCCAACGAGCCCTGCTATGCGGTGTAAGGCCATGAGGAATACGACTGTGCGGGTTGGCGTGTACTCGGGTGGGACGGGCGGTTTCCCCTTCTTGCCGGTACCAGTGCAGATGAGAACCTGATCGGCAACATCTCGCTGCGTGGAGGGAATATTGGCGAACAGAGGCGCCGAAAGAGCGGAAGTAACCCCGGGCAAAACAACTACCTTATCACCCATACCATGGTTGCGAAAATATTCTACCTCTTCGCCTCCCCGTCCATAAATGTATGGATCGCCTTGCTTCAACCGTAGAACTGTCTTACCTTCTCGGACACCGGCTATAGCCATCTCCTGGAGCTCATTCTGAGCGGCGTCGGCATTACCAGGAAATTTGCGCGCAATCTGGACGGGCGTCCTCCGAGGTATCAGGTCCATGACACCGGCAGGAACGAGCTTGTCTGCTAAGATGAGATCGGCGCTTTGTATGGCTTTGTGAGTGGCCCGAGTCAACAGATCTGGGTGTCCAGGACCTGAACCGGCAAGGATGATTCGGCCTTTGCTTTGGACTTGATTTGTTGATGAAGGCTTGCCGATCGGTTCAGGCAAGCGGACGGTGTCGTACGACTGTAGTATAGCAGATACATCGTCATTGGTGATTGCGGCCAGCCGCTTCAGTGGCCAGTATTCGCAAACCTGGCTCAACCACCGCATGCGCCTGTTCTTGGCGGCATCGAGGTCGGCCTCGATTACTAGGCTATTGAATGTTGCGGGCTGGTCGACTGAGTCATCGCTCTCACCACTGTTGGTTTGGGCTAGATGTAGCAGGTGATCTTCTTCCTGTATTCGATTGCGAACGTCACCTAGCCTGAGACAAGCACTCCCAAGGTTCTGAGGGAGCAATGCGGCAATCTCGCGGCGTATTCTGGACGCTAGCTTGCAACCGCGGCCATTTGTGGTAACGCCGATTTGGAGAGGACCGTCGGTGTAGGTGGAGAGGAGCGAAAAGGAACAGAGGTGGGGTGCGTCGACAACGTTAATGGGGATACGATTCCGCTTGCAGAGGGAGGATATGTGAGCGGCTTACTTTCTGGGTTAGTATCAAAGACACCTTGTGAGTAGCACGAGGGCACAAATAGCATACCGAGATCATTATCTCTCGAGCCGGTAGTGACGAAGACGGCGTCTACCACGTGGCCGATGTCACCCCTTCCTAGCGTAAAGAGGTGAGTCTCTCGGAAGGCCTCCTGCACCCACTTGACCTCGCCATCGTCTACTCTTTGCTTAAGAGCGTAATGAAACTCAGTGGCCGCAGGCGCAAGGAGTATGGGCGATGCACCAGCGGCTAGCGACTGACCGCACCGAGCAGCAGCCAAGGAGTTGGAGCCAACGATCAAATGAATATGTGATTCTGCGTTTGTGGCAGTAAGCAGGGAGATACGGGGCGCCATTTCGAGGGCGACTTGGAAAGGGAGGGGAATTAAGAGAGCATATACCACGCCTAACTAATTAATATTTATGATTATAGTAGACTAGAGGTTGCCAAGATTGGTCATCAACTGTAAGTGAAAGTGAGTAGGATCGTGGCCGACGACTGCTTTCCTTTCCTGAAAGCTAAACGAATTGGGGGGAAAAAGAAAGAGTTGACCAGTCGAAGGCGATGTTGGCCATGCCGGAGTGAATAAATACATATATCGTGGAGCGTCTTGTGTAACAACATGGCATGTGTCGCGGGGGCACACTACAGAGGAAGACGCGCGAAGTGGGATGCCGTCGATGGTGGGATGAGGGCCTGCGATGTCGCATGTCCGCCGAGCCGGCCGACTAGAAAAAAAATTATGTGGAGATGCCGGCTATCTTTCCCTGTCGTCTGGGCTTATCGAGCCAACCACCAGACGCGGCTTACAAAAATGCACATCCCCGCGGGCTGGTGGCGGAGATGCGAGTACTGAGTCGTGCCATCGACGAGTTCTAGATTTCTCACAAAGCAGTCAACCGACAGCAATCTACCTATCTAGCCGAAGCGCCATGAGGCCTGCAGTAGAAGAACAGTATATACTGATGTATCATGGGTACTGATACTATGGACAATTTGGCTTTTAGAGGGAACTATCTGCTGGGAGGTAAGGGATGTCATTAGATATCAAAAAAGGGCGATGAATCCTGTGCACTTGGTTCTGCGACTGCTGTCAAGTACTGTCACCGCTAGGTACCTGGTTCATGAATTATGTCGTATATCATTTCTTCATAGCAGTTAGACCTAGATACCGCCGGTAATACATAACCGTTAAACAGAAGCCGGATTATTCTGGTCGAATACACTTTTGTACAGATGTTGATACAGATATCCCGCTGTTACATGTTACGTTTCCAAGTCGAGTTCTTTCATGAGATTGGTGCGTTTGCCCTTCCTGCTACCTTTGGTTCGTCTCTCGGTAAGAGACGATTTGGCTGCTTCAGACGCGCGGAAGATACCACCGGCATCAGCATCGAGCGTAATAACCCGCGTCTTGCCAGCTCGTGCTGCATGTTGAGCCCTCATACCACCATCGTTGGGGACGACCCCGCCCTTTCCAAGCCGGACCGGCCTTGTCACGCGGGTTTTCGCCCCTAGAGCCCAGAGATCACCCCATTTCGCTTTGCGCGCATCTCGGTACGCTTGCTTGCTGAAGCTCTTAGGCACCGTCCACCGTTCTAGTGTGCCGGCTGGCGTGCACACGTCTAATGTCACATGTCCTTGTCGCTTGATCGGCGGTAGGATAGTCCGGGGTAGTGACAGCGGGTCGGGAGTGTCCGGTGAATTTTCATATCCACCGAATGCGCTGTTCGTGGCATCGGCTCCCTGGACAGGCAATGTGACGGCCTTGGCACCGGGCAACGTGCCACGCTGAACCGCGACAAAACTAAAATCTATGTCTTCATGATTTCTGTGAGCCGCGCCCAGCACCTTCTGTAAGAACGGTGGCCGGATGAAGCGTTGGCTGAAGTGGCAGAAATCCTTTCGACCGGGTGTTAGCCCAGGCGTGAGATACATAGGGCACGCTTTGTGGTTAGTGCAGGGTGCTATGATCATTCCTGGTTCCCGCTCTCGTCTGATTTCGAGTTCGATGGGCTCGGGTCGCGGATCTGAAGTGGGCGACACGATAAACTCGTCCAGCAGACGAGCCCGCACGTCACCAACGGCCTCAAAGCCCCGGGGATGACCTTTCTCTAGAAATATGAGAATACCACCCTCGGGCGAAAGCATTTCCCAAAGGTTATCTAACATTGCCTTCCGCCTAAAGCCTTCCTTGATGGGCATCATTTGGTGAGATGCGATGATGACGTCAAATTGTTTCCTTGGTAACGAAGCTTCACCCCCATCTAACTTGTTAGGATGATCACCTGAATGTAAATAGTCTGGTAATCGAGGGAGAAATGTGGTGTTATGGAGGAATCGTGAAATACGCTGTCGCAGTTGCTCTGAGCCCACAACAGCTGTCTTCTTGCCCAGTGGCCTTTTCGCCTCCATGCTGCCTTTCTCATAGGTTGTATCCCACTCAGCTTGTAGAACCCGTTCCCAAGCAGCTAAGCCAGCCCCGCCAGCACCAACATCAAGCACTCGCGGTCCTTCACCATTGCCTCGCGACATGAGTTGCGTCATCCAATCAGATCCAAGTCGTTTTCGAACCTCGACCAAGATGCTCATCACCGACGAATACATGCCAGGCAGCAGGGTTGCAATGAAAGCATCTGCCTCGATTTCTGACATCTTATGGTGACCAGCAGCGATAGGAACCGGCTTCTGTTCGGCGTTTCGCTTCGATGGCGGCGTGGCTACAGAAAATGGAAGCCCAGGACCACCAAAAGCCTTTTCTGCGGTTTCTTTGATATGTTTGATATCAGTTCGATCCAGTAGTTTAGTAATGGGTGTAACGAAATCAGCCTTTGGGAGGTGTAGAGTACTTGGATTGGTCCTCCAATGACCAGCCTGAGAAAATTCGTGAACACGGTCGGTTGGCTCCCTAAATGTCGCGTCGGGCTCCCCTTCATCTTCATCCTCTATCTCTTCCTCGTCTTCCTCTTCTTCTCTTTGTTCTTCTTCCTCAATCTCTTCTCTGGATGGTCGTAGGGAAGCGGCTTCAAAGTCCTTTTGCAGCTTTAACAGAGCATTAAATTCGCGTTGGTTTTTTGCAACGGCGTTGATATAGGTAAATCCGGCTTCAGATGGAAGTTCTTGCAGCGAAATGTCTCCAGGAGTAGAATTAGTCATCATGCTGCCATCCTCGGTCGATAGCGATGCAGGGTGCGAAGGAGAAATCTCGTCGGTCTCATAGACAACCTCCTCAAATTGACCGTCTTCTGTCTCTCGTAGTAAGATTTTGTCGGAGGATTCGTAGGCATATTCGTCTTGTACAGAATCGGCCTGTACAGGCATTCCCACATCATCAGGTTGCGTCTCGCGAAGGGGTGGGCCGTAAAGTCTTTCATAAAGCTTGTACTCTTGATCATTGAGGTATCCCTTTGGTAAAGTGTCTCCAAAAGTATGCCTTGTCTGTCGGACCATCAGCTCAATATCGTAGTCGGATATTGGAGGGTTGGTCTCGGGTAGGGCAGTCGGTTGAGCTTCAGGTCTGGCCCCGGGCTTTACATCTTGATATGTAGACGCTGTGGTTGAAAAACATCTCGCGGTGGCACGACGAGATCTCTGTGCTATCGGATGCAATGCAGATCGATGTCGTGGAGGGGCGATCGCATCTGGCTGCGCATGAGCGAAAGCATTGTCGAGGAGGTTCAAGAGCTGTCGTCTATAGTGGGGACACGACGGCCTCTGGCGTCTCGCAACCGGTAGCATCGTGAGAATTGTGTCGGTGATGGCGTGTTTCATTCAGAACACAGGATGCGAAATCGAAGTTGATTGATTCGCCGCCGGCGGCATCATTTTTACCGTTTTTAACATTGCCTTTTCTGGGCCTAGTTCGTGCAGGAACTGACAGGGGTGAATGGAGCTAGGAGACTAAGAGATTCCACCAGTTCGCAATGGTACCGTCCACAGTACCAACGTCCATTTCAGAATCGTGTAACCAGGCTACCTACTATCGTAGGAACCACAGCCGTAGCCGTGCGTTTAACTAAGAACTCGAGCCGGCGAGGTATAGCTATTTGAGTGTCGTCAGCTGCATAGCTTCAGGACCCGTCTCATGTATGTTGAATGCGAGGTCTAAAGTCCGCAGAGGCTTGTACTGGCCTGTAAAGTAGCCGTCGGCCGTATAAATGAAGCCCCTCATCAATTACCGCTTTCTTAACACCTAGGTACTTATTGTTTTTCTATCTACTTTATTCTACTCGGTAAAATCAGTCTCTCGGCTACGGCTATTTCTGTCATAATGAACAAAAGTCTAGAATAAAACCCAGAAGAACTCGAGGTCATCCAAATAAGAGTGACTTTTGCCCATATGGCCACCGATTGCCATAAAAGCTCTCATGCCAGTAACCTCCTTTGCACCTGATACTTCTATTCGATTGAACTTGACTGCAAGATCTAGATCAATTAAAAGCGAGGATAAACTTGAAATATTTAAAAAGTTAGCTAGTTACTTTATTTATTTATTTATTAAATTTTTTAAGTTTGTATGGGAAACCTGTGCACCCCTGCAGCTAGCTTACTAGTACATTCCTTCGCTTACATCGATATAAGTAAACGAATTCGATGTGAGAGCGCCACGAAAGCCACCTAAGAACAGCATTAACCGTAGAGAAGATTAGAAAAAATCAATCGATCCTAGCTGATCCAACGGCTCGAAATCGACGAATAGATGGTGAAGAGTAACTATATACAGTTTAAACTAGTATCTTGCCAACGTGGCGGCTGTTGGTAGGCGTTGCGAATATGGTCCGTATGTGTCTAGTAGGTATTCCTGGACATGTGGTGATGTAAGGGTGAAGTTATTTCCTCGGCCCTGATCCTCCAAGTAACATCACATCTGATAATCTCATGCATTCCGCGCTTGACCGAGTTTAAGCTGGGGTCGTAACATGGAACTCGGGTGTCGAGCAGCTCTTGCTAACATCGCCATGATCAGTATACAGCACGGTATACGATATGTAAGCCGCATATCTATATTCCGGACCGGTATGGTTACTTCGACCGATGATAGAGATCGGCCAGGTGTAGCCTCCCGACGAAACCAGAGGGTCCGCTATTAGTACACGGATTCTGCGGTCAGCAATGAACATCGATCTTGGCTCAACCAAGCAGGCAGCAGAGTGAGTACTAACGAATTCTAACGTAAGCCGAATCATACGAGTAGTCATCGACATACCTAAAAACTTGAGTTAGCAGCTGATAGCACCAGTGTACACGTATTGTAGTAATTAAAGCTCGCGCGTGACCCTTAAAATATGTCGTGGTCCGAAAAAGGGGTTTATTTTTATTTTTGCCAGATACACGCAACATAAAAGCAGAGAGATAAACGCTACAGGAAACAACATACTGCCCGGTCCAGGGATTGTAATAGGTGCCTGTGTAAAAGGGCGTGACCAATTGGCTTTGGATGATCAAGTTGAGCGGGCCGTCAGGGATGCCTGTCGGGTCCCATTTGATCTCCCAGTTGTCTCCGATGTTATAGAAGGTGTTTTCAGGTATCTCAACCCTAAGAGGGCAATCAGGGTACTGGTCTCGCTTGACGTCCATTGGATGGCTTTGCACGAGACCCGCCAGGAGGGCGGGAATTGCTAGAAGCTGGATCAGGGACTTGACCATCGTGATTGATTGAGTGGCTTGGCGGTAGGGAACAGAAATGGATGGTGTTGCTGAAAAGTTGAATAACTATACGGCCATTCGGCCATTTATATACCTAGTCGTTGGGCATGAGTTGCTGTTCACCAAAGCGCCCGCCAAGACGCAAGTCCTACGAAGTATGTTGCCAGGAGCTAGTGTACCAACCCAGCGAAGATCCGAGGATCCGATGCATGCGGGCGAGGTGAGCTTTCGAAGCGAGCTTCCGAGGCCACCATATGTTGGCCGCCCGTAGTATTACTATATTGTCTAAGTATCTTTTAGTAAACAACCTAGGTGGCCTCGAGCTTCCGATCTAGATAGCCTAAGCCCCTGAGAGGAGCCGGGGCCTAAGTGTACCCCGTCGTCGACGTGGTACAGGATTAAAATGCTTACGCAAAGCTTAAAAATCGCGATAGTGTACATGCTACCTAGTATTCCTATTATTTGGAGGTAGGTTACAAGACTGCCGTTCTGAATCTGACCAATTTGATATCGCTCGTGTCAACTGCGTGAAGCTCCTCCCGTATCCTGCCCGCGTGCCCCTGATACGATGCGAGGAAATACCAGAGGATCATGAGACTCGGTTCCTGTCAAGAGAAATGGAGGTGATACTTACTTGCATGCATGGCAGGAATTGTTGGTTGTATTCAGAGTAGTTCAAATCAAAAGGTATGGACCATAGGACGGGAGATCTGTCGTGTATATATACACCTTACTCATGGGCGTGGAGTGCACCAGCCTCTTTTATTTCAACACTTCCGTCGCAGCATCACACGAACTTACCAAGGGGCCGGCTCCGGATGTCCTATGCTAATATTCTGATACTTTTAAAACTCAGCTGCCACCAACTATGACTGGTAGGGCGTTTCCGCTCACGAGGTTGCGCTTGAGAACCAGGTCATCTGGGTATAGGCCTGACTCGAACTCCTTAATAAACCGCGATGTAATATCTGCCTGCTCGACTTCATTCTATATGGACAAGGCTAGATCTGTAATAGGTCCCACACTGGATGTGCAGTATATAGCTGCTACTACCTGGCAGGGCCTTTAACAGGCCTATAGCGCCCTACTAACGCCGTTTTCCCTATACTATCTATACCTTTTAAGGCTAAATCTACTATTTAATTTCTAACCTTTAATAACTTTTACAATCTATTAATTTAATCGCTTTTTTAATACTTTTATTACTTTTATTACCTATGCGGCCTTTTTTATTAATTATTACGATGTTTTTATTAATTATATTAAATTATATACCTCCTACGTCTTTTTTAACATTAAAAACCATTTTAAATATATTTAAAGGCGGTACTAAAGGTAGCTTACTATTTAATATAGTTAAAAAGGTTTAGATATTACTTTATAATTATATAACTATTTATAAATATAGCTTTATTCGTTATAATATTTCGAATTATAAAAATAATATACCGTATTATTATATAATTTAATATAACCGTTTAAGAACCTTCGAAAGTAAAACTATCGTTAATAAAAAGGTAGCATTTTTAAAAAAGGTAGGTTATTAATAGTATAAAACTTTAACCTCCTTTTAAATTAATATCTTTTATTAAATATTTTAACTTTATTTAATTAATAATACCTATAGCTATTTTATAAATAATTCTACTTATAATAATTATTTTAATTAAATTTTATAGGAAGATTAAAAAGACTTTATTTATAACCTTTATAATAATAATATTTAAATTAGTTAAATATTATATTCTTTTAAAAATACCTATTTAGGTATTATAGTTATATATAAAGATATATTTAACGTTATATATTAATAACGTTACTTTAATCTTAATAGGTTTACTTTAATTAAAACCTTCCTTAATAAGGTTTTTAATTATAAGGTATAAGGTATATTAGCTTTTTATAATAATAAAAAACTTTTAAACGGTATTAATTAATTTAATCTTTACTTTTAATTATATAAACTTATAATTAAATATTAGTAATAATAGCTTTAAATTATTAATATTAACTATATTTATTATATTAACTAGTTTAACCTTTTATTAATTATTATTAATAATATTATTAATATTAGTTAAATTATACCTTTAGCTTTTACTTTATTTATTATAAAGGATAAAAATAGCTTTAATTTCCTTATTATAAGTTTTATAAATCTTTTTAAAGGTTTAATTATTAATAAACACCCTTTTTTATTAATTATTATCTTTATTAATTATTAAGAATTATTTAAAGCTACTTTTGCTTTTTATTTTTTTAATGTTTAATAGTAGATTTATATTTTTTATATTAATAAAAATATTATATTATAAACCTAACGGAAATAGGTTAGCTTAAGGGTTATATTAAACAATAAAGGAAAAATTAATATAGATCCTTTAAACTACCTCCTTTTTTAACTAAATAATAACTTTATAAAGCTCCTTCATTTTAGCTTTTTTTTAATAATAATACTTAATATATATATTAGCTTTTTCCTTTATTAGATTTATATAATTTATTCCTATATTAAAGCTAAATTCAATAAAGCTTAATTATATATAATAATTAAATTCAGCTATAATTAATAAGCTTATATTTAATATATCCAATAGTAATATATATTAAGGAAAAGGGAATAAGTTAATTATTATACTTTATAATATTATAATTATAATATATAAATTATATTATTTATAAAATTTATCTATAACGTTTTAAAGTTTTTATTTTATTTAAAAGCTAAAACTAACCTTATTATATTAAATCTTACCTTTAAAAAGTTCGTTATATCTTAATATAGGAATATTTTTACTATACTTTTATAAAAACGTATTAAACTTTATTAAAAAACAATTAGCTATATTTAAATAAATAATATTATTATTATATATAGTTAAAAAGTATTTACTTTACTATAAATTAAATATTATAAGGTTTAATAATATATTATATAATTAAAATATTTACCTTCCCCCCCATTATTACCTTATAATTATAATATTAAAGGGTAATATAAACTTCTTTACTTTTATAATATTTTAAAAAAGATTAAATCTTATACTTAAAATAGTATTATTATAAGCATTAGTTATATTAAAGTTAACCCCTTTTAGCATTATTATAACCTTTAAAATATACTTTATTTAAAATTTAGCTATTATAATATATAGGATCCCTTTATTATCCTATATATTAAAAGACCTTATTTAATAATATTTACCCTTTAAAATACCTTTAAATTATTTACTATATATTTAAATTAATAAAGGGCTTTATAACTGTTAAACTTTAACTTTAATTATTTAAAATCTTTAAAAAAGGAATAATTAAAGTAAAAACTATATAAATAATTATAAAATGGAAGAAAAAAACGAATAACTATTAAAAGAATACGGGCCTAAACTAAAAAATATTAAAAAAGTAATAATAATAATAATAACCTTTTTACGGATATAATTCTAAATAATAATAATACTTTTAAAGCTATTATAATTTTAAATATAAACGATAAAACTAAGTTAATATAGTTTAAAATAGTTATAATAGGTTAGAAATAGGATCTTAAGGATATTTTAAATTAAGGTATTATAGAAGTAAATATTTAAATAAATAGCTAGTTTAAAAATAAAGCTATAATTTTAATCGTAACAGGTTTATATATAAATTGTACGTAAATTAATCTATTTAAAGATTTTCGAAGTTAAAGAAATATAAAACTTAGTAATTTTATCGAAGTTATACTTTTAGAATATATAGCTAAAAAAAGGAGCGGTTTAATAACCTATAACAACCTTATACCTTCCGACCCTTAATTTAGGTGCATTTTTTAATGTATACAATGTGTAAATGTCGTAGCCAGCTAAAGTGGGACTGTTAGCAGCTGTATACTGCATATCCAATGTAGGACCTATTACAGATCTAGCCTCGTCCTTCTATATTTGTTGGGTTAAATATATGGTGGTTACTAGTAACCGAAGGTTGCACAATGCATTCCTGTGTTTGATGATTCTTGTTGATTATTCTTGAGAAGGGTGTTAAGCTAGCTACGGCTACAGAGAGGTGTTCATCTACCATATGTGGTAGGTGGGGTAACTGCTCACGGATGCTATTACTGCTATTGCCATCAACAACATCATCATGAAGTGAGTTACTGTCCTATGTCACCATTCAGGGGATACCTAAGATGTGGCCTACATCAAGCCTTTTCTGCATAGACGAATCGCAGAACTTGACCATTCCGAACCAATCCCTGACACGCCCAAACGAGGACCCAATGTAGAACTGTTGCTGTATTGGATATGCACTTCACCATAAGTCTCTGTCCACCTTTTTTTACCCCAATTCTCACAGCAAATCCACTAGTGACGTAGTACCCGCTTAACTTAGGCCGGTTAATGCAAACTCTGATCAACCAGATGAATTCAAGGTCCAACGACCTGCCGGGCACACCAGCGCCTGCCGGCGGCGATACGGACAGCGGCCCGGGTACTATCCGGGCCCCAAAGAAACCGGTTGACCCCGCAGCCCCGAACGCGCTCCACCTAGCGTTGCTCGAAAACATTACTAGTAGTCCGTCACTGATTACTACCACCGACATCTTCTCGCCTTCACCACCGGCTGGGAAGGATGGGAATAACACCGTGAAAAACTACAATGGATCGAAACAACTGTGAGCTGAGGAACAAGGAGACTACGAGGAAACGCGCGGCAAGGGTACCGAAACGGCCCACACCGACAGTCGCGATCAAGTCACTTGTGCCCTCGAGAAAGACCGGAAGCTATACAAGGCAAAGACTAGACTATTCCAGGACTATGCCGATGTAATCGACAAGACCTTACAAAAGGCTGGCACAGAACTATACCCGTACGCAGTGGAATCCAGCAATTTCTTTGCTGGCTGCCTGAATAAATGGCTTGGGCGTGGCGGCCGCCTACCGGACTCGGCGGCGTGTCGGACAGGCGGAGGGCCCCAGAAACTGGCGTACGCAAAGGCTACTCGCGCCTCTGAATGCAACCCACCCCGTATGAATCAAGCAGAACCTACACCGAAGAAACTTTCTGACACAACTCGCCCATTAGCTGGGAAGACGAGAAAAGACCTTCGCGTATTTGTGCGCATGGACAACAGCCTTCTCGAGCCATTTGGAGTCAAGAGGTCAGACAATAGATCAGGTTTGCTTGCCTTGGTTGACGGTTAAGACAGGCTAGAACCATTTCAATATTTATTTCTCTCTGTAACGCATCTCCCACTTGACCTGGCCACCCAATTAACCTGGCCACATTTTTGACCTTCGTACGCACATAAAAAAAATCCCTCATTTCTCCACCAACAATCATAGAAACCCTTCGTAAAGAAAGCGACCTACAGCTTGCACTTTAAGCTATCGAACGAAACCTGAAATTATCCATCCGATACGTTACTACTATCTATAATATTCCTCGTACGATACTTACCTTTCGAACGAAAGGTTTTAAATTAATAAGCAAAATATTACCTTTAAAAGCTTAATTAATTCCGGATAAAGAATAATTAATTATATAATATATCCTTAATCTTATAATAAAATTATTTCCGCCTTTATATAGTTATATAAAAGATATAGCTAATTAATTAATAGTATTATAGGGTTAAAAGCTAATTAAAAAGAATTAAATATTAAACTTTATATAA